AACTTCCTCATTAGACCAACAAAATTGGGAAAGCTATTCCAATTGTAAATTTCTGTTTAATATAACGAGGCAATGTATTACACTCGGATGAACCTCACCAACTTGTAATGATTACAATAAAGGCACTACCGCAAAAGGTTATGTTAAAATTAAAAGGAATGCGTCTTATAGCGTCGCAGCAGGAAGTCACTAGGATCAATTGCTGCAAATCTGTTTACCACATTTCGGAAGTGCTTATCCCTATTTCAGATCCTTCATCAGATAGCAGAGCCGACCAGCTGTAAATTTGTTGAAGTACGGGTGGTGAAAGGATTACAATAACAGCAGCCAACATAAAAAAATGTATTTGCAGGAACAAAGTTCTGATTCGAATACAGAACACATGGGAACCTCCATGGGCCCACGAATTCGGGTAAAACACTTGGGTAGTCAATACTAACACATGTGGTTTCGTGCAGTGCCGTGTCCAGGGGGGGCAGACTCTTCTTCTTTTGTATGACAGAATTTAATATTTAACGAAAAGGCCCTTATACCATTTCCTTCAGCAATTTATTTAGCTACGCTCATGCTCTCGCTTTCTGTGCCTTGTGACCTTTGGCGGCGTCAGCCAGATCTGCAATTTTTCATGGAAGCGGCGCCGTCAGCGGCTAATGGCACATATGCTGACCAGAAGGATAGGAAAAACATGCGCATCCTTAAATTCAAAATGTGTGAAATTTGCACCCAGTTGTGCTCAGAATGGCGACAACATGTCTTTGCATTTTCATGACTGTGAAAGCAGTTGCGTGGGAATTTATTTGGGAAATTTTATGAACATAAAAACATACTTAAGTGAAGTCAAAGACATCTGTTTTAAGGTCAAACCCTGATGTATGTCAACCTGTGAGTGCAAGTATGGTCTCAGTGGCTTAAAGGCAAAGAGCCGAGCAAAGACCCCAATCAAAAAATTAAAACTATAAAATGCTAATTTGGGTCTATGTATGTAAGGTGCTTGTTCACGAGAAGGATCAAAAGCATGCCATTTATTTGTTGAAAACGTGACAGCCGCAAGCGAAAATGTACGGCAGCATCGGCAATCAATAACATGCGTGCCAGAAATCATACCCATGAAACTCAATTAGATACTGAAAAGTACGTTATTAATGTCAAAAAGTTAAGAATCAGGATTTCTGGCCAGACACATCGCAGACAACCCCCACAACGCAATTTGTGTAGCATTTGCACGCAAGGAAAGGAGATAAAGAACATTTAATGGGTCCAGACATCCCTACCGTAGCAATTCCCACGCTTCTTGGTGCGGGAAACACCCGCAAGCGCATCAGCAAAAATGTAAGCAAAGCGTTGGCCTCTCATTGACCGTATCTGCACCGATAGCCACCGTTCGCCCCCAAGTCACAAAAATACGAACACTTCTGTGCACGTTAAATTACACAGAAGCAATACGGCAGCAGCAGAAAATTGTTAATAAGAAAGTCGAGATCGCTTTGAGCATAAGTTGCCAGTGGCCCGCAGCCCCAAATCAAGGTATGGGAGTGAGTTACTTAATAGAATGTCTTAGCATGTGGGCATGTTGGTATGTCGTACATCTAAAATGTGTCTATTTATACCCACCTATGTGTGCGCTTTGAGTTTGTCGGATTTGGATTCGGATTTGCCTTGGATTTGGGGTCTGTGTCACTCACGCCGAGTTCCGCATAGGTCCGCGGATATGTTGGAGAATCGCATGCTTCCTCCAAGAAATCGGAAAATGGGATTCATGTAATTAAAGATCCGCTTAAAGATGTTGGCTCATGCGAAAGTGAGTAGCGTAATGGCACAGGAAGGACAACATTTTGACATCTTAGGGTTTTGCGGTACCTGTCTCCGAGTCGGCCCTTAAATGCGCTTTCTGCCATTGCCCATTTGTAAGTGGGCACTGTCGAATATCCTTGTCATAAAACTGCTTTGTTCACTTGCCTTTTGTTATATAGAAATTTTCATTTTTGCAGTCAACACACAAAGAGCCAGACAGAAGACGATTTGGTTAATTTTTGGCTGGCGCCAGATGCACAGCTGGTTGCCGTGGCCTCGGCTGTGCGATTGCAGTGTCATAAACGCAATGCAAATAAGTATAGCGACCAACGGCACGGCACAGGTCCAGTGCCATCGGTCGTGTCTGGTTTCTGACCGACCAGATGCTTGCAGTTGTCGCGCCTTGACGTTGACACGCATGAGCGTAGCCGGAAACATTTCCCGAGGAGAAGGCGCACCCGCACCGAAAGCTCCCCACCAGTACGCCCATGCTGACACATGCCATGCCATACAGCATACGGCGATGGTCACGGGCTATTGGCCACTCATTTGCCAATGTTGGCGCATTCGCCACTTCTACATGTCGCCGCGCAGCAACTGGTTTGAATTCTTCATTTGCGTGCCGAAGGCATCTGTTGCGTTGTTTATGCGCCCGACTCCCGGAATCTGAAATGCAAAAATAAGCCTTTGAGTCAAGTTGCTTGTTTCAATGTCGATTTTCGATTTTCGTGGTGTGGTGTACTACGAATACCTTCCACAGCAATTCATCTAAAAATCAAGAAAATATGGGCTTGGTTTTTACATCACGATTATGCACCGGGTCACATTTCACTCGTTCTTTGTGAACATTTCGCAACCACCCAGAGGCCTGATTTGGCTCCGTGTGACTTCTGTCTATTTTCAAAACTCAACTCGCGTTGGGAGTCCATTAAGGAGATAAAAAAGGAGATGGCGCTGATGGCTATACTGGAAAGGGACTATTTGGCATGTTTCGAGGATTGGAAAGCCGTTGGCATAAGTGTATTTTATTGGGAGGGGACTACTTTAAAGGGGATAAATTTGATTTAGATCAATAAATAAAGATTTTTCATTTTACACACAAATTTACCTCACTTTTTCCCCACAGTAGTAATTCTTTTCAAATTTCAAGTTCCTATAAGCCAGCTTTTTATTTGATATTTCCCGCATGAACACAACACGAGTATCTGCACCTTTTATTCTCGTATCCCCATCGATATGTGTGTTTGCACGTCCAGCTCTGTCGGTATTTTCAGTGCTCTGTATACAGCCGGCCAAGTTCTTTTGAGGACACCTTGTCATGGAAAGGTGCAGGCCAACTGCCACTGCTGCTGATGATGTGCTGGCGGGCATCGCCTGTTGATCGTCGTTGTCCTGCCTAAATTAATAACTGCAACGTGCGGTCGGTCCTCTCAGGTGCTTTTGGAAAGTTCATTCAGCGAAGCGGAGTAAAAGCAGCAGGTAAAATGACCCTGACGATTGGATGTAAATTTCTACAAAAATTAAATGGACAAATTATTGACGAAGACCCAGCTGATACGTCGCAAATAATTTTTGACAGTCGATTCATACGAAGAGTAGTTAAGTTATTAACTCCATTGAGTTCGTTGAGGCTTGTGTTCCTTTACCGACTGTTAATAATAATAATGTTCTAAAGGTATACACAAGTTGAGGTGTTGCATATGAACTTGTACTCATTTGTTACCTTATTTCACACTGTCTGGATCTGTGCAAAATAATCAAAGCTCCACACCTCGAAAGGTGCTAGACAGTTAATTAAATGGTTTTATTCGTATAGGCATACTAAAAATAGTACAAAGCGTTGAGTATAAATAGTTACTTATAATTAAATTAACACATTTGTGCAGAGTTAACTCGGCACTACAAATATAAATTTAAGGCCAACTTAAATGTGCTGAAAATAGTTCCAAAGATCCAATGAAGTTTCTTAGATTGATCGGGTGCGTGTAATAGAGACCATCGAACTTCCATTGCACACAGCGAGGCGTGAAAATGTTTTGGGCTAATAATATCTGTTCACATACTAATTTGGGATCTGAAAAATGAATAAAAATTGGTCACAATTTTATGAATTTAGGGAAGTAATTTGATTTTGAGAAAGCTATAATCAGTGCTAAATATTTATTGAACGATTGCTTTACTGTTCCTTAAATACACATTTTCAAGTAGAGAAAATGATTCTTCAAAATATCAACACCAGGTACTTTGCCGCCCAGAACGCCAAGTCTAACGATCTAACAAGCTAATACCACGCTGCACATGAAGAAAGTTGGCGCCAGCCATGAAAAATATGTAGACAATTAGAATAGCATTTTGGCGTTGCTCTACGGACCGATTCATTAAGTTGTTCGGGTACGTACAGATAAAATATATACATACTAACATGAGTGGCGATCTCGGCGCGAGGCTCTATGCATCTTGTCAGAATGTCACTAATTGGACTTTGTACCCGGCGGCCGATTCTTTTTGGCAACGTTCGGATGGTGATGGTGGCATCTGTCGCTCAAGTGTCTTTGGTTTCTGGCACAAAAGTTCAAAACGAAAAGAGCGGAGGCGTCCCAGACGGCGTCGCCTGTGGACATAACATTGTGATACAGCTGCGAATGATTGTATCGAAATTTTACGTTACCATTAGGGTAATCTTAACATAATCTAATATTCTTAAAAACTATTAACCAAGTTATACGGACTTGCTCTATAATCGAAGTATTGAATTATTTTACCAACTGCATGAGTAAGTTAAATGAGATGCTCAAAAGCGTTGGAAGACACGAAACTCATATTTATGTGATCGCTCTAAATGCCCCAAGACATTAAGGCGCAACCCTGGGGTAAAAAGCACATAAACAAAGCTGGCAGCAACACAGATGGCCATTATGGGGATAGCACTTCTGCGTACATGCATATATATTAGGATGTATGGAAATGATTGCACACAGTTCGTCATAATTTGTCGTCGAAACAGATGAGGCCAGAAGTGAGGAGCAATACCCAACCATGACACTTAAGGGAAATATCAACAGCTTCTTAATTAAATATTCTTTATTTTTTCCTTGTTTTTGTACAAATAAGGGTACCAAAATAATTGAATAAGCAGATTTAGCTTTAGAATTATGTTGTAATTTTTTATAATATTTGTATGGAAATTACTTTAATGCCATTGCGTACAGTTTTCTTTCAGTGCCCCGGCTGTTTGCTTAAATATGGATAAAGGCGCATTAATATGTGCTTAAAATATTCATTAAAAATTTCGCCACCGCAATATTTATTAATAATGAGACAATTTTATGAGACGTATTACTTAATTTGTGGTATACCTTAACTTGAATTGCATTTTATCAAAAAATCTTAGTCTGCACACTCTGGTGGCCTGCAGATTGACTGGATAAGAGTGTTCCACAAAAGTACTGCAATCAAGAGCTATTTATCGCCGTCTCTAATTTTACCGACGTCAAAATTTCAACAGCCTCCCACTGACAAACAAGCCCCCTTCCATGCATAGTGGTATGCAGCTCGTAAAAACATCGCATCCTCAGGCGGCCCGGAATGTGTGCGGCTTGCTCTAAATCTAAAAAAAGTCCCGCCAAAGCCACTGCAGCTGTTGCTTGTGGGTGAAAGTGAAAACTTGAGGCACATGTCGTTCGGCCGGAAGCGCATGAAAATCGAAATAAAATCCCATCTACGTTTTTTATGAGTTCCTAAATTATTTGATCTCAGGACCATTTATGCAAAAACATAACATTCAAATTTGTCCATCAAAAATTATACTTTAATTATGATTGATTATAATTGATACATAAATGTTATACTATAACAACAGTAAATTAAAGTTTTTACATTTAATTTTTTTTTAAGTTTTTCTTTTTGAAATTCTGATCACTCGTTTAGTCCAAATCGTGGCTATCATGGAAGTACAGTTTTCTTACGTTACTTTACAACTTTGTTGTACAGTTTTTGAATTTTTTTTTCTACATAAAAAATGTTGGTAGGAAACCATAAAATAGACGGCCAGACCATGGAGGAAACAATTTGGTTTTTCTAAAAAATAGACAACAAACGGTACAACACAATTTTTTTTTAAATAATAATTGAATATCGTAAATAAAAATCGAACAGCTATGACATGCCGAAGTTTATATGGGTGTACATATATCCTAACAATTATTCCAGTCAATTTCGAGTTTATATCAGTTGCATATTGCACCTAGTTTCCTAAACTTTTATATGAAAAAAGCTATGTTATTTTCAGTAAGTAAATGCAGAAATTCTTATTTTACATTTAATTTAAATTTTAAAAAAACAATTCACTTTTTCGTGTCCAGTTCCGGTCACTATCGTGGCTATCATGGAAGTACAGTTTTCTTACGTTACTTTACAACTTTGTTGTACAGTTTTTGAATTTTTTTTTCTACATAAAAAATGTTGGTAGGAAACCATAAAATAGACGGCCAGACCATGGAGGAAACAATTTGGTTTTTCTAAGAAATAGACAACAAACGGTACAACACAATTTTTTTTTTAAATAATAATTGAATATCGTAAATAAAAATCGAACAGCTATGACATGCCGAAGTTTATATGGGTGTACATATATCCTAACAATTATTCCAGTCAATTTCGAGTTTATATCAGTTGCATATTGCACCTAGTTTCCTAAACTTGTATATGAAAAAAGCTATGTTATTTTCAGTAAGTAAATGCAGAAATTCTTATTTTACATTTAATTTAAATTTTAAAAAAACAATTCACTTTTTCGTGTCCAGTTCCGGTCACTATCGGTTAAAATCATCGCGGTACGGGAACTAGTTCACGTCAATGGACTTCTATCTCATCTCTGTGAGTTCGAGATTTATCGATAAGTACGGATATCGACGGCGCTGCAAGTAAACAATTATTTCTGTTTTGTATTTAATAATAACATTATTAGCCACATTGGCACTCGGAATTCGCAAACATTAAAATGTCGAGTGCGCAACGCTCGTTTGTGCAAAAAGTTTCAAAGTAAGTTGACCATAAAGGGAAATAACATATTTGTAAAACAAAGAAACGCCCTACAATTATTCGTGTCTATACCAATTTGTGATACCCTAGGCAGTCGGCTGCAGATGTACGAAAAAATGTTTCTAGCTGTCATCTATCAAAGACAATCGACACATCACTGTGCGCTTCCACGGTAAGAATAACATGATTCCCGAGTATAAATTTTCAATTGCTTACATTTTTTCAAAAGGTTTCCCCGACAGAGCCGCTGGACTATGAAGAATTTCTTTCCCAACACATGAACATTATCAACCGGGATCCCCTGAAACACATATTGGACTTTCCTCAAGGAGATGTAACTGTTAAAGTCATTCCCCGGAAGATCCGAACTGTTGATCACATCGTCCCGACCGAAAATTTGTATGTAATAATACAGATTGTACCTTGGCTAACTGACTTGTCCCTTTTAGATCTGATTTGCCCCAACACGTACAAGAATGTGTGAACTGCTATACACGCCCATGGAAAGTGGTTGAGTATGCGCAGCGGCACCTCTCCAGCTCGTGCTATATCCGCGAGCGTATCGACCGGGGAACCATTAGTCCATCCGCGTACCAGCAGGAGTTCGAGATCGACAAAGATTTCTCATCCTTTGAAGAAACGTTTGCCTATAAAAGCGAGAGCTGCACTCCAAGCTCCAGGCAATCGATTGCAAGTTTGGCTTCAGTTAGCTCTTGCACGGACACTTTGACACCCCGAGGTTCCTGGGCCAGCTTTGATCTTCGACGCTCAGTTAATGATCCACTGATACCAAACTTGCTCGACAATGTACCGCCTGAGCACATTGACCAAACAAACGAGGCACGCCGGCAGCAGGATCGTCAAGTGGCTCTTTTTTCGCTATATCCGGAATCTGAAGCGGAGGAAAACATAGAACGCCGGCTTCTCGCTGAGATTCCAGTTGAGCATATGGGCCATCGCATTCAGGTAAAATGCCTGCAGCTTCGGCTTGAGCTTGAAGTGGAACCAATTTTCGCCTCTATGGCCATTTATGACGCCAAAGAACGACAAAAAATATCAGAAAACTTCTACTTCGACATGAACTCGGATAGTCTCAAGCGCATGTTGTCAAGCCACGTCCAGTGCGCCGATATCAGTACCCAGAGTCATTCGGCCATATTTGAAATTTCATACCCAAGCAATGATTTATTTCTGGTGATTCGGCTAGAGAAGGTTCTGCAGGGTGACATAAACAATTCTGTCGAGCCGTATCTAAAGGAAGACAAAGATAAATACCGAGAGAAAGTAAAATTCAACGCGGCGGACTACTGTGAGCGTTTAGGCAAATATCGAATGCCGTTTGCATGGACAGGCATCTACCTATCAAATGTTTTTAATGGTGACAATTTTGAAAGCAAGGACGTTGGGGGGACGGAAAAGGATTCATTTGGAAATGGAACAGGTAGTGGTTTGGGCACCGCCCCAAGCTCCAACAGCTTGGACCGCAAGTCCTCAACAAGCAGCTTTGATCAACTAAGGCGCAAGGCTAATGATATGAGCGGAACCCTTACCCGACGTGGTTCTCTAGAACGAAAGGAAAAGCGCCGGTCCTGGTCGCCTGATGATTTCGCGAACGTTGTAGAAAACTTTCGACCTATCACTATAACGGTGCCAAGCTTCTTTAAGCAAGAGGCAGATAAAATGAAAGACGAGGACTTGTACAAAATTTTACCAGAGTTGAAAAGACCGAGCTCAGTTATGAAGAAGTTGAAATGCATACCTGGCTCTATTAAGCTAGAAATATCTCCTTGTGTTGAGGAAGTCAAGAACGCACTAACTCCAGAGCTTGCTAGTATAAACCCCCAAAGTACCGAAAACTTTCGACCGGTTAAGGAAATCTTAGAGTTTCCCCAATCAGCAATTTACAATCCACATTATACCTACCGTAATCTTCTTTTTGTGTCGCCAAAAGAGCTGAATTTTTCTTCTCGTGCGGGCTCTGCTCGTAACATTGCTGTGCGCGTACAACTCATGGCGGGCGAAACCCCTAAAGATGCGGTTAATGCCATATATGGCAAGTCTTCTTGCCCTAAATTTTCTACTGAGGCATTTACGGCAGTCAATTATCACAACAAATGTCCATCATTTTATGATGAGATAAAAATAGCACTGCCTGCATCGATAAAACAGCATCACCATTTATTCTTTACTATTTACCATGTATCCTGTCAAAAGAAACCACAGGACTTGCAGCCGTCCGTAGAGACTCCTATTGGATACACCTGGCTGCCATTACTGGAAGATGGGAAACTTAAGTTTGGAGAATTTAATCTCCCTGTTATGGTAGAATCACCGCCGGAAAACTACTCATTTATTCCTCCGAATGTCCATCTGCCTGGAATTAAATGGCTAGACAATCATAGAGCCGTATTTGCTATTAATGTGGAGGCAGTTACGGCAGTTCATACTTTGGACTCGTTTCTTGATCGATTCTTCTTAATATGCGAATATTTAGACACGCGAAATATACCTTCACACATTGGCGAAAGTAATATAGAGGCGGAGTTAAAGAAATGCTTGCTAGATATAGAGCACGCAAATCGCGAGCCATTAGTGAGGCATCTACCCTTAGTCCTGGATAAGCTTATTGAATTGTTGGTAATAACCCACAAAGTTGGAGGACAGGCAATGTCCCTAGGATCTACGGTTTTCGAAGTTCTTTGCTTAGTATCGTCTCTGTTGTCAATACTTAACGACGACCAATATGATCAATACGGGCGGCAAAGTTTGCTATCAACATATGTGCAATTTCAATGTAAAATTCCGCACCCATTTCAAAGTAAGCAACGACTTACATGTAGCCGCAGCACAACGGATGACTTGCCGCTAACCGAAACGTACAGCTTGTATGATAATGTATTAACTAGCGGTAGAAGTTTGGATCGCAAAGGTAAATGCATATACAAATTTTATAATGTCAAATACAAATTTCATCCACTTTTAGAGCTACCTATGGATATTCTTCACTCAATGGCTGGACGGGATGTACAAGTACGCCTGCTACACGAAGAATTGGCCCTACATTGGGTCGTGGCTAGTGGAAAAGCTGCAGACTTAGCCATGTCAAATTCGTGGTTCTTGTTTGAGCTAATTGTTAAATCTATGATTGAACATTTGCATAGCTCGAACACTTTAAATGGTCCCCGAAAGCATCGGTTTCCTCATCAGTTTAATGATGATCTGTCCACACTAGTGCACTTAGTTACTACAAAAGTAGTCGGTTATCATAGTAATGAGCCAAAGCTAGCACAATCCTTAAATGCTAGTCTAAGCTTCTTTATATTTGACATATTAAGCATAATGGATCGGGGATTTGTTTTCGGTCTCATTAAAACTTATACCAAGGTTTTGATTTCCAAAAACTCCTCAATCCCGGACCTAATGAACTATAAAATAGACTTCTTAAGAATTGTGTGTAGCCATGAACACTTTGTAGCTCTGAATTTGCCATTTGGGACATCCTATACAATGGTATGCGCACCATGCAGCCCCACGCCTAGCACCACATCGAGCAACAGTCAAACATCTTGCGTAAGTCAAAGAACAATACACAGAAACTTATATTATACCCGTTACTCGTAGAGTAAAAGGGCCCACTAGATTCGTCGGAAAATATGTGACAGGTCGAAGGCAGCGTTTCCGACCCCATAAAGTATATATATTCTTGTTTTGTCCTTTTTTTGTAGGGATCACTTGAGCGGGCGCTTCATGCCGACCTAAGTCAGGACTTCCTCCAGCAACATTTTCTGGTTGGACTTGTTCTCAGCGATTTGGCTGCAGTAATGGAGGTGCCCAATCCCCAGTTACACGGAAAGGCCATACGATGCACTCGCAACCTGATGACTTCTCATGACTTGGACACTCGATACAGTGACAACGAAGCACGTGCAAGGGTGGCCGCTTTATACATACCGCTATTGTCCATAGTGATGAACAGCATTCCTCAGCTCCATCAGCACGGTCTTGATCAGGACCGTTTGCAGCAAATCGGCCAGCTTGAAGATTATCAAGGCCCACATCAAACCATTACAGCATCAACCATAAATCCGGAAGTGGCGTTCGCAATTTCAGGAAGTCGTCCGTACTCCTACTTGAACGACCAAGTTAAAAACAAATCGCCCCTTAGTTCGGAAAATACCCGTCATTTATTGGTTTGTTTTCTGTGGGTTCTAAAGAATTTAGAGCGCAACGTTCTGTACCGGTGGCTTTTGGATCTAAGTCCACACAGAGTGCACCAAATGCTTCAAGTAGTTAATGTATGCCTAAAAACTTTTGAGTATACAGGACAAAAACACGTCCCCACTCTAAAACGAACCAATACCCAAAGTTTTAGAAAAACCGGATCTACTGATGTAAAGGAAAAACTAGAAGAATGTATTAGAGGCACAAATTCCGCACGAT